AGCTACACTGCGTATCACTTAGGCTTCCCCTACCAGTTCCTTTCAGAATTCCTTTCCCACCACCCACTGAAGTTCTACCATCCTATAGAACACTCTCGTCCTCTGAATTCCTCCTAGAATTCCTTCCTGGTGCTCTGCACACTCTACCACCATCTTTTCCTATTACTTTATAGTCAAATACCTCTCCCACTTGACTTAAGCTCCCTGAGGGCAGGGATCCTGTGGTATTCTCCAGTGTAAAGTACACAGGGCCTGGAGCATAATTAGTGCTTAGTAAATGACCACTGGCACCAAAAATGAATGACACTCTCAGAATATGAGCAGGTCACAGAAATATGCAAACCTCTCCATAGTACCCAGCCAAGTCAAAAATAGGGGCAAGCAATTCTGGGTGTGCTCACTTATAACCCACTAGTATGTTAAGCCAAGCTGTGGGAAATACTACCTAATAGGAAACCATACACTAGCAAATCGTAGAACCGACTGGAGTCACTGCCCAAGGCTGTGGTTTCTGCATGAACACCCCTGAGCTACAAATCACGTCTGAAGTGAGAACAAGGAGTGCAAAAGAGACAGCAGTCCATCCCTAACACTTCCACAAGGGATGGGACAACAAGGGGAAAGGCAGGAGACTTCAGAGTGATCCTGAGACCCAAAGGGGTTAGGACTCCTCCCCTGCTCACTGCCACAATCCTATACCCCAGGACTGAGGTAGCTCCGGAAGGAGCAGCTTTGCAAAGCATCAGAGGTGGTCAGCCTCTTTCCCAATCCTTGATCCTTCCTGAACCCCCAAAACGCCTCTGAGAACACAGAGCCTGGCCAGATCAATCCCATTAGTTAATGAGTTAAGGTATTGTTTGTTAATTTAAACTTATTGTTATCATCAGGTACAGCTCATAAACACTTGATTAGTTTACACGCTCAAAATTGAAACCAAAACTTCAATTAAACTAAACATTCACTACTACCATTTCGCAGGGGTGTCCAACCTTTTGGCGTCTCTGAGCCACACTGGAAGAAGAGTTCTCTTGGGCCACACATTAAATACACTGCAATATGTAATCTAAAAAAAAAAAAATCTCATAATGTTTCAAGTAAATTTACGATTTTGTGTTGGGCTGCATTCATAGCCACCCTGGGCCATAGGTTGAACACCCCTTATAAGGTCTTAAAAAATAAAATAGTAATTTTAAAAAAAAGAGAAAGAGGAAAAAGTATCGTCTCTAAGAAGGGCCTCCTACAAAGCAAACCAACTGTCAATTTCAACACAATGAAAACTGATTTAGGAATGTAAATTTGGTACTCTAGTCACTTGAAAATAAGACCTCACATTGTTGCTCTCATACAAGCTGATTTCCTCGGATAAGGAAATGGATAGAAGAGGATGGAAAGAAGGAAATGCTGAGGGAGATAAACAAGCAAGAGCAGTTTATCCTTCATGAATTACATCTCCGCAGAATTCAATGTGGGCTGTTCTCAAGCATGGGAGAAACTCTTTCCTTGCCTCCTCCTTCACCCCTCCCCTACCAGATTAGAAAAAAAAAATTAATCGTGTATGATGACAAACTTGGCTCAGCACTCACTGTACACACTGTACCCACAAGGCTGGCTCCCGGCCAGGCCTGGCCCTGTGCCAGAGCTACAATAACAAACACAAGCCATGCTAGCCAAGAGGGGGTGGGGGCAGCTAGCAGGCCGAGCAAGGGAGGGAGCAAGGAAGTGAGTGCTGTTTGGCTCCAATGAACAGGAGACAGCAGCAGGAATGTGCCTGTGCAAGGGACAGCAAGTAGCACCATGACCCCAACCCAGGTCCCAGACTCACTTCTTCACAGCCTGCCCCTTTTTAAAAACCAGTCCCCAGGGTTCAGGATAAATACTGTTCTTTTAGGTTCTTCACTGCTGCTCCAACCCTTGGTGATCTTCTGCAAAATGAGTCTGCACTAGAGACCCTTAGGAGACTTTCTTGCTGTCAGCTTCCTGCATGGAGCCTTCAAAACAGAGCAGCAAGAAAACCTCATGCATCTCTTCTCTCCTCTAAAACGTCACACAGTTCTGTTATCCAGCAACTGGAGGAGGAGTCAGAAGATGTAAAGCCCAGCTAGTGCTCCCAGAATCTGGGAGAAGACCTGGCCCCGCCAGCCCAGCCCTCCAGCCCCACTCCCCACAATGCCAGGTTTCTCCAGAGGCCCCCCAGCCTTCACTGTTTAACAAGGGGGGCAAACAAATTAGCAAGTGATCTAGCCTCACTAAGCCCCTGTTGCTTTTTTATTTTCAAGACATCCTAGCACAGAGGTGAGAGGTCTGAGAAACAGAAAGAAAAAGCAGAGAATAGAAACATCAGTCTAAGCAGGCTATGAGTTATCTACAAGAGGGAATGAAAACACTGTTTTACCTACCACACTATTCCCATCACCAAATCCTCTCTTACAAGGGCATTGACAAGTGAATTTCAGAGGTGAGGCAGGGGTCCTGGGCCTCTCAAAGTATATTAGATGCTTCTCCCCTCTCTGCCACTCCTCACTGGCCCACCAGCCCCAGCAACACTGCTGAAGTGTGATTCTCAGTAGAGACAATGGCTAACTTGCATTCAGCCCGTAAAAGCCAGTGGGCTCCTGGCTGCCCCCCAGTGAGCCCCTGAGACATAATCTAAACAGTTCCCATCACGGAAGAAACCAGGAGGAAGACTTGTATTCCTGAGGTTGCCCCTAGGTGTACCAGGCTGTACTCATTCATTCATTCAGTCACTACATATAGATCTACTGATGTGCCAGGCAGCGTGCTGCTCGTAATGGGGCCAGACCCTGTCTCCAAGCAGCTCATAGTCAATTAGAGGAGCTGAGGGAAAGGCATGTTACATAGGCTGAGCACCTCTCATGTCTCAGGCACAGTGTTAAGTGTCTGATGTGAACCTCCCAACTTCTCTGAGGTAGGGTGAAGTTCTCTTCTTACAAATGAAGATATGGAGGCTCACAAAGCTTATATCTCTCACCCAAAGTCACGTGGTCAGAAGGAAGGTGTCCAAACTCCTCATCCTGACTCCCAAGTAGAAGAAATAAGGCAAGTCCACAAATAACCATGACACAAAGAAGAAAGATTGTGCCCAAAGATGCTTCAGATAAAGAAATATGGACAACCAGAAGAAGGCACGCCTGCTTCCTGCTGGAGGTGGGGAGCTGTCAAGGACGGCATTGCAGAAGGGACCGTGAAGACCCAGGAAGACTGCAGAAGGGCTATTCCATACATGCAGAGCAAACCCACAAGTAGAAGAGCTGGCGAGAGCATTGGACTCAGAGAAGTAAGGAGAAATGATGCTTACTAAGCTGAAGGGGGAAGGTCAAGGACGCCCTAACCACAGACTAAAAGTATGTTACCTGCACACAAGTGTCCAACACCATGTAGTCAGCTCCACATGGAACCGGAGCAGGGAGCAAATGAAATGGAAGATCCACATTGACTGGGGGTTTGCCAGCCTCGTTAGCAGACAGCTCATGAAACCCCACACTGAACCCTAAACAGCATTAAAAGCTGAAGGGAAACAAGAAGATAGATGGTCCAAGTAATAAAAACAGAACAAGAGGAGTACCTGAGTACAAAGCAGATGCAGAACACCGAAACACCTGGGTTCAGGATGCTAGCCAATGTGGGGACAGGTAGATAGGATGAGGGTGGTGAGTGGGGCCAGCTGTGGGGTAAAAATACCTGACGGGAAGGAGGAATGGAACACACCAAATCATGCAGATGGGGCGAACATGACAAGACAGCCAGCTACCTGGTGTGGCCCCATCCCTGGATCTGGAGAAGGAAAGGTTAGGAAGCAAGAAGGGATTAGGGTATTTTAGAAAGGGCCATAAAAGCCAAGGGGGGAGAGAGAGAGCATTCAGTGTAGTGTAGATCCACTTCTACCCCTTGCTCTGCAGCAAGGCAGTGGTGAGCTAAAGTATTAAAAACCACCAAGTGATATTTACACGACTCTACAGGCTGGTGGATAAAGTGAGGACAGACAGCAGCCGGCCCGCCAGCCAGAGCAGAAGCTGAGGAGTTTGGTGAAAGGAACACACCCCAGGGTGACAACATCAAAACTGGGGCAAAGAGAGGAAGGTGGAAACAGAAGCAATTGACATTCATTTAACATCAACTGCATGCCAGGGAGTGAACTGCAGATGCCTTTAACATATATTCTGTCACCTAATACTTAAAAAAAAAAAATGAGTTAGCAACACCTGCACTTTACAGATGCAGAAATTGGGGTCAGAAGACAAATCTGCCCAAGGTTACATAGCACATATCACAGATAAGAGCTGAGCAACCTTCATCTCCCCAACCCCAAAGCCCATGCTCATTTCACAAACACTAAACTGTCTGGAGGGAAGCAGTCTCCCCCAAAATGTGATGCCAAAGCTGAAAGGCATGGGAACAAAAAGAAAGAGTTCACAAGCCCTTGCAGAAAGTGGGGCAGGGGCTCTACAACTGAAATTAGGTAACCCCTGGGCCTCAAAGCAGCACCAAGAGGCCTGCTGTGTCCTTCTTCCCACCAAGAACATGTAGGCATGTTGCATGGCAGGAGCTTCTCCCCTTTTCACGCCTAATGGGGCAGAGCGGCTTTGCCCAAACACAAGCAAAAACACCAACAGCCTCTTAGTCGAACCCACTAGAACAGGATAAAATTAACTTGCAAAAGACAGCACGGTGTAACTAGCTTTGTGTTCCAACCTTTCTATATCTATTTAATTAAAGGCTTCTGTATAATGTGAACCCAATAGTCAGATTCATTAGAGAGCGAGAACCTAATTCCAAAATTGTTTTGCTAATGAAACCGCAGTCTGCTTTGGAAGGCAGATCACACCATCAGGGTGGACTTTTAGCTCTGTGAACCTGGAAGGAACACCCAAGGGACAAGGTGGAGCAAGGCCCCCGCTGGCAGCAGGGACAGTCATGCTCTGAGTGGGGGCAGGAGGGGGCTGCCTGTGCTCAGAGAGGCCGGTCAAGGCGTCCTTGCCTACCTGAATGAGCCAGTAAGTGCATCCTCAGTCGCAAACTATCCAGGAACCGCTTTCCGCAGAGCTCACACCCATACGTCTTCATTCCACTGTGCAGCTTCCTGTAGGGGAAAGGAAAACAGAAGTTGCTGCTGCTCTGGCTGGACAGAAGGCTGACCCACCCCTACCTGGAGGCTTTGTAGCCATCCCCCCAGCTGGTGAACAGGAGGAATGCAGATGGAGGGCATAGGAACTGGAGACGGGCACTGATGAAAGCATATCCTGGGTCCTCAGACTGCCTAGAGCACCCCTTTCTCCTCTGGATCCCTGCCAAGGAAGCATCTATCCCTGGTCTTGTCCAGGGACGAGGAGAACAGAGCACCTCCTACTGCTTCACTCCCTGGCATTTACTATAAAAAACAAAAAACAGCAACAAAAATCAGATCCTATTTAAGAGGGAGGAGGGAAGAAGCACCAGGACAGTCAGAGAGACCTAATGCTCCCAGCGAAACCAGAAAAATTGTAATGGAGGCCACTGGGCCTCTGCTTACCTCCGTCACAGCACCGCCCCCCCTGCACTGTGACTGTGCACACACCCGGCTCCCCCAGGAGACCACGGGACTATACCTGGACCTTTGCTCTCATATCCTCAGCTCCCACTCCAGTGGTAACCAGCAGCCACTGAATGACTTATTAATGAATCAATGTCTTCATGGACACAAGCTGCTTCTCTCTCTGGGCTTCCAGATGTTCTCAGAACCACAGTGACTCCCCAACACGCACACCTTTCCCCTAAGGCCCAGCTTTACGTCTTCCCTCTAGTTCTTGCTGCGGGGCGAGCCCTGACAGAAAGAAAGGCTTTCTTTCAGAAGCCAGGTAATATTCCATAAATTAAAGGTGGCAGTCGTCATTTTTGGTTTCCCAAAGTCCTTTTGCACACAGTGCCGCACTCTACCATTACTGCAACTCTGAGAGGAGGGCTGGGCGCATACGACTGACCCAGGAAGACAGAGGCCCTGTTCACACGTAATCGTGGGCCCAGCCTACAACAGTGCTCTGACCCCTAACTCCCAAACCCAGGGCCTTTCCCACCAGACCCCACTGCTCAGTCAGGAGCCAGCAATGGAGCCAACAAGATGCAGGGAAGCAGACAGGCCAGTGGGGAGCGGAGCACTGGGAAGAGGGTCGTGTGCGCACGGCCGAGGCTCCAAGCGGCTGGCTGGCGTGTGGGCCATCTGGCCCGGAGCACTGACTCTCCTCCCACCCACACTCCTGTTATCAGGCCCTTACATGCCTCTGCCAGATGCAGCATCCACCTCTTCCCACCTCTGCACCTCACCCACTGCCTCCCCAGGGGCTTGGCCCTGAGAAACAGGCTAGGCAATGGCAGGCAAGGGAGGAGCCAAGGATGGTGGGGCAGGCAGGAGACATACAAGGCCCCCTTAGAGATAACGTTCTATTGCAATCAGACTGTTTATGTGTTAAGACCACAGCAAAATGCTGGAGAGTGGTTGGTACTGTTAGATAAACGCAGACGGCAGGAAAGAGTATTACACACTCAAGCTGGCAGCACCCAGGTCCGGGCCTTAGTGCCCAGATCATGACAACTAAACTAAGCCACCCACTGCCACCACCTCCCAAATCCCATAATGAGAAACCAGCAGTGTGTTAAAACCATGCAGGCCCAGAGGTGGGCCTCCTCAGCTCTGCAGTCTCTGGGCCACAATGGCCTGAAGACAGCATATGGTGTCCTGTGTGCACGGCCTCTGAGAGCAGTCACGCCCGGTCCCCAAAGTAGAGCTCTTTCTCAATCACGGTTTTGTTTACTGGCTTTCCCTTTACCTCCTTGCCAAAGACAACAAATGATTTCTCAATCACACAAACACACACCCTCATCCACGACACTATAGTGCACCCCACCCCCATGTTATCTTACTCCTGGCCACAGATGATCCAATCCAATTGAGAAACAGTAACAGTACAGAACATTTTAACTGAACATTCTTAACTCTAAATATATTTCACAATGCTAGGCACTGGGACATGTCTTAACAGCATTCTGGGCACAGCATGTTTTTAAACGCAGAGGGCCCCCTTATCCACGCCTGAAACTGCAGGTAGTGCCGAACCCTACATATATTTTTTTCCCTATAGTTATCTATGTACCTATAATAAAGTTTCATTTATAAACTAGGCAAAGTAAGTGATTAAGAACTAATAATAAAATGGAATTATAACAATATACTGTATTAACAGTTATGCGAACGTGGTCTCTCCCTTTCAAAACATCTCACTGTACTATGCTCACCCCTCTTCTCTTGAAGGTGTAGATAACACAATCCCTACCTGATAAGATAAAGTGAGATCACATGTGACATAGTGTTAGGCTACTAGTGACCTTCTGAAGATACCTTAGAAGGAGGATCATCTGCGTTGCGTGATCGTGGACCGTCCTGCTATGATGATGTCAACAGCTGGATGTAGGAGCAGGCGATGTCAATGGGTGGGGAAACCTGGTGTTTTCGGACCATGGCTGACTGTGGGTAACCGAAACCATGGAGGGTGAAACAGTGGATAAGGGGGAGGAGACCACTGCATGTACCCAGGCATGTGAGTGGGTGTGCACACACAACAATTGAACATTCCTGTCACTCGCCAGGCATGACAGATATTTGCTTTTCTGATAGATGGTCCAGGGGGGTGGCAAAAGCTGAACCTCTGGCCCACATTCATGGTCACGGCTGGTGGCTGGCCGTGTATGAGTTTCAGTTTTATTTATTTATTCTCATCCTTTTTTCCACTAGTGATTTCTTAGCTCCCGTGGTGCGCACTTCTCAGGAGGTGGCTGTCAGAAGGAACAGGAGGACAAACACCCATTCAGATCTCTTTCTACATGGACTATGGAGTGACCAGTCTTCTGGGTTCAGCAGCCACCACCAGGATAAACATACCCAAACCTGCCTTGGGACTCCCGTCCCTTCTCCCTACAGATTCCACATCAAGTTTTTCACCAAAATGAACACTTTCTGGGTAACCTCCTTATCTTTTTCCTAGATGAGAATGATTTGCCTGGCAACTCAGGCAAAAAGAAATGGCTTTGTTGGCCAACTGCACTGGTGTGGTGCAAAAGGTGGAGCACCCTAGCCCTCTGCTACAGAGGTGGCAAGGTGCAGGGAAGGATGCCAGGTGAGCAGCCAGAAGACCTGGATCCTTATCCTGAGTCAGCCATTAATTTGCTTTATGACCTTGGACAATTATACTATGGCAATATCTCTACATTTTTTCACCTATAAAGTGATGGGGGTGATAGCTAAGGTTTTGGTCCCATCTGGAGCCAGAATTTTATTATTAAAGTCTTACCCATATAACCCTGATTGGTGTGGGTCAGTTGGTTGGGCATCGTCCCGCAAAGCGAAAGGTCAGCTGTTCAATCCCTGGTCAGGGTCCATGCCTGGGTTGCAGGTTCGGTCCCTGGTCTGGGCGCATATGAGAAGCAACCAATCAATGTTTCTCTCTCTGTCTCTCTCTCTCTTTCCCCCTCCCTTCCCCTCTCTCTAAAAATAAATGAATAAAATCTTAAAAAAAAAAAAGTCTCACCCATATTCTTATACCTGGCCTCCAAGGAATTTCTTAGGAGCACTATTTATTTTCCTTGAGCCACATTTTCCACTTGGGTGATGCCCCACAACACTCACACAGTCAAGCTAAGAGAGCCCAAGCAAAAATTGACATCCAACCTTAGAAATCTATTCATTTAAAAACATTCTAATACACATAACCTGTGTCTCCTCCTTTCCTCATGTGTGGTTTACCTTTCAGTGAACGAATCTTCCAGAACTCATCACCAGCCTCTCTTCTGGTACCACGCGCTCCCTGGCCTTCAGAGACACAGGTGTCCAGTCCTATTCAACGCCTGGGCAAGGATACTGCCTGCACCTGACCCACTAACTCAGTGCCTCACACAGGTTACCAGAGGTGCCCATGTGACCCCACAGAAGTACAAGAACAAAGGTCTTTCCCACCGGAGTGAGACCAGGGCAAAGCACAAAGTTTGGAAGAGAAAAAGGGAGAACCTCACAGGCCTGGTAGTTCAAAGGAGCCCAACAATGGTCAGCCCATATCTTTAATTACTGTTCAGACACCAAGGGAAGAACATGAAAAAGTGGAGCCTTCTCATAATTCAAAGGAAAAGAATTTGAGTATGTTCAGGCACTTGGCGACCAGGAGACTCTCTATGGCACAGTCTGCAGGATGGCCAACGTGCAAATAGAATTCCAACAGGTTTTGGGAGTAAAGTACACATTTGTATGAGCTCACATTTGTAGGAGGCCACAACCTCCACCGCCTCTACCACCTTAGGCAACTACAAAACATTCTGATTAAAATGGGAATTTTGTCCACCTCCTTTCTTCTTACCACACGCTCTCCTATTTTCCCAGCCTGGTCCTGTCTTTTCACAAGGTCTGACTGCTCCTGGCTATCTGAGGTCATCAGGGAAGAAGAAGGCAGAGGACATCTTTGCACCTTTCTGAATGCTGCTGTGGCTTTCACACTCTCTCCACTAAGAAGCAGTGACATTGCTGAACACCATCTTGAAAGTAAGGCATCACCCACGCGTCTCCATTCTGTGATCAATGGAGGATCAATCTCCCCCACAGGCTTCAGGTCCTCCGCTTTTGGGGGGCAGGCTCAAGTTCTCCCCCACCCCTAGCTCTGCCACGCCATAGGCGACATCTGGCCCATTGGGTAAACTCACCTTGAATTTAACAGATTTTCACTTATGTCCAAAAAGACAAAGAAAAAAAATGAACCTCTAACTGGTTTCTAGCTATTTGCTCAAGAAAACTGAATCATTATTAGAAATTAAGGCTAAGTAAATCTGAAACTTTTATCAAGCAACCAGAGAGAAAGACTCACTGCTTCTCACAGATTGTCAACCACACAATTCTCACCAAGCTAATAAGTACCTGCTCATCCAAACCACTTTTGTACTACTTTATACAAACAACTTTATACATGAAAATGTATAAAGATTTCATCTGTGTTACCCTACAAATGATACAATGGCAGAATATAAGGTTAATATATATACGGTATAATGTTTATTTTTCCTTTTCTTCCC